AAAAAAAAAAAAAAGGAGAAAAGAGAGAGGGTTAACAAACAAAATTCCGTCACACAATCCAAGTCAAACAGTCGGACAGGAGGGAAAGAACCAATCTGTACTAATGCACAGTCACTTCAATGGAGGAAGTCTCTTGTATGTACAGGTGACTGCTTGTCAGTCTGTGCCGAGACTTTATTCAGTCATATCTTACAGTCTTTCAGCAGGACCTTCAATACCATGTAACAGAAGACCAGGTTTTTAAATACTGTTTGTATAAAATCATTCTTCTGCTCTCTCTCCTTCTGATGCATTAGCAGAGAATGGTTGAAAATGCATATCAGATATACTCCCATGTTTGCTGCTCAATCAGCCCTCTTTACAGGGTATAATTGAGTGTAATTTAAGAGATTAGTATGCACATAATAGAATCTCTTAAGATTTAAATATAACGTCTTGGTGACAAGCATAGATGATGAATTAACTGGAAAAAACAAGAGCAGACCTCGAGTGGCTTTCCGGTGAGCCTCTTTGGCTACGTGCTGGATCTCTTCATTAGTGACCTCAAGAAGGATCTCTGTCAGAAGTGTTTTTGTGATGATCATCTAGTGACAGGTGGGAAAAACATACAGTCCATTATTTACAATAACTCCTCAAAAACAGATCAACTACAACAGTCTACGTGCAGAGGAAATAATCTGAATGGTCAAACTGACCAACTGGAATTCCTTTTCCTCCTCCGTCATTTCAGGCTCACTGTCCTCAGCAGCAGGCGACGGGCTCCGGCCAGAAAATTCTTTCTTCATGGAGGTCTTTTCTTCATCGTCATTGTCATCATTACCCTCATCGTCACTGTCCTGATGTAAACAGAAGCAAGGACTCATCAACAAAGTGGCAAGTTGTGAGGGCAGCGTTAGGTGTTTTGGGACTAAGCGGTTCTGGGGAGCTCCCCCAAGGACAACACACCTTCAAGGGCCTTTTTCCTGTTTACAATCGCACCACAATAGGAACGCTATACATACAACATAACACTCATAAAAGTAACCTGTAACCTGTTTTTCAAAAGAAACCATTTTGTTGTCAAGAAATGGGTTGCTTACAAATTTACTCTTGCGGGGGACTCGTGGCCCATCCCCTTCCCCGTCTGCCTCGTGCGCTTTGCCATCATCTTTTGCCATTTTTGCGCGCTCCTTCTCCATTCGCTCTCGCTCCATCTTCTTCTGCTTCTCTCGGTCCATCTTTTCAAGGCCTTCTCGGATCCATGCAGGTAGTGTGCGCCGTTTTACAGCATCTAAAGGGGAAACTGGAGGTCAAAATGAATTATCAATATACTGCCATGCTGTTTAGATGTATATACCCCTTTGAGCCTTTACATGTTCCCACTAATGATTATTTATCATCATCAATTCATCTGCTAATAATATTCTTGATTACTCATTTGGTGTATATGTCAGTAAATAGTGAAATGTCCATCAGACTTTCCCAAAGCTCAAGATGATGTCATAAAAAGGTTCTACCGACAGAGCCAAACATATTCCAAAACACTGGTTATGTTCATAACTGAAAATATGGAATCAGGTAAGTCATTTTTGCTTTAAAACTGACTTACACCATTAATATACTATTAAAATAGTCGCCAATTATTTTCCTGTCAATTGACTACTTGCATCTGCTCTAATTTTGTAACAGTACTATTATTTGACAGATAAAGGGTGTTTTCACACATTTTACTGCAGATTTAAGTCATATAAGTGCAAACAGGGTTAGGATGATAACTGATAAATGCCAAAAAATCTAAATGGTTCCCAATAGTAAACAGTACCAAATAATAATAAATACAGCACTTACAATGGTACATTATGTCTATCCTGGAATTCCTAGCTGCATGTCAATTTTCCTACTTTGTTATATTATTAGGAGCATTATTATTTCATGTTGCATCAAATATAAAGAGAAGTTTGATGTAACACACAATCTGAAACAATCTGACAACTAGCTATTAGTTGAGTGAAAACACACTCACCTAGTGGGGCTGGAGCCTCCTGTTTGACAGGGAGCTGGATAGGGGATCTGGGCCGGTCTCTGAACCCGGGTGGTCTGGTATCTCGTCTGTTCTGAGGGGGACCCTGCCAATATGGGGAGTGGAAGCCTGTGGGTGCAGGGGCGAAGGAGGAGGCGGCTCCATGCTGTAGAGAGACAGCACAAAGTGAAAATTAAAGGCAGTTCGGAGCACAGAAGGACCTCTCTTAACTGCCACCAAGTGGCATGCACTGAGCATGGGGTGGTTGTTGTCTTTCCCAAGATTAAGTTAGCTGACATTCATCCATCACTCCTGACTGGACTAGAAAGCCTGTTTGGTTAAAAAAAAAAAAGAAAAAAAAATCAGCTAATAAATAATACCAAACCATGCTGGATCCTCAACAAGCCAACACTTTCCTCTGCACCGCCTCAAGAAAGCAATGACTGATACACCTAGATGCTGGGACCCGGCACAGTTTCTATGGATTGCTCCTTCTTGTGTTACTTGGTTGTCACACTAAAACCCAAACGCTTCAACAGTTTCTACTGTAGCATCTGCATACCTGATAATCAAACTGGTTCATGGCCATGGGGGCCATGGCGTAGCTGTCGGGCTGTGCCCCATACCCATGGCTGTTCTGGGGGTAAACCCCGTGGTGGGCTTCAGAGTTGAACTCCACGCTGTCCTGGCTGTTGCTGTCCTCGCTGGGGTTCACCACATCCATCGGTCCTGACCCTGGAGGGATCCAGGGCTGCTCAGGGGGTGGAGGAGGAGGTGGCTGGCCATGCATTCCCCATTCTGTTAATGACAACATAATTAATAAACAAAAGCCAAAGCAATATGAACATATAGGTGTGACCACAAATGGAATTTCTACTGTTTATACTTCTCAACATCTGCTCATGAGGGAGTTGGTGTCCAGCCGTTAAAAGTTTATCTAAGCACGTACACATGAGAGATCACAAACTGCATCAAAAAACACACAAATTCTCTTCAGGCTAATAAATGACAGTACAGTCAGTCAGTAGTGAAAGACGGACTCATTCCGATCCTGTACCATTTCCAGTGCCAAAAAAGAAGAATGGTGTATAAAAGAGAAAAAGAAATTGAAAAATGTACTGTGGCTCATGGCGTTAAACTTGTACCTGGCTGCCACAGTCTGCCAAATGCTGGGTCACCCTGGAAGGCGCCGTGGTTGCTCTGTCCGACAGGTTCAAGGCCTGGGATGTCCTGGCCATTGGGCTGAATGTTCTGCGGCTCAGCTCCTGTCGACTCCTTTTGGGCTATCCATGCCTGTGCCAGGGCAGCCCAGTCCACTTGACCTTCACAAAGCCAGAAAATACACCCAAATATTTGAAAACACACCCACATAGGAGGCACTGCAGGTCTCCATTTATCAGGGATGTTTGAGCAGTGGGTACGTGTTCATTGAAGCCCTGCAGATGCACATTTCTTTTGAAGAACAATGTGTTTGTGGTGCATGTGCATCACTCACTAACCTGGATCTTGCTGGTGCTGGAACGACTGCATCCACTGCTGCTGGCTCAGAGGCCACTGCGGCCAGGGCTGTCCTCCCTGGTCCCACATCACTCTCCTCTGGATTTACACCTGAAACACCCCGGACAACTCCATTTAGATTTTAATTTGCAACCCCAGCATATATTTTGCTGACATGACTCGAGCTGCTGCAGTTTATGTCCTGTAACATTACACCTGGGTCTCGTCCAATGGCCAGAAAAGAGCGAGCGTTAGCTTCGATAAAGGTGCTAACGTTACCACAAGCGGAGCGGCTAGCTGGATGTTAGCCACTCCAGTGAGCTGTGAGCCATTTCCTCTGTTCATAGCGGGAACAAAACCTATGTAATATGAGGTCTTGCGTCGTTACTGACGCATGATACTAAAATAAATTCGGGGGCGAGTGAAATCTAAACCTCCAAGGCTGCCTCTGGTCATGCGTTTGTGAGCGAAGGAAGCTCAGCCAAGCTAACGTGAGCTAACATTAGCTAAGATAAAAAATTAAAGCTAACACATAGTAGCAGCGTTTTCTTCCCGGGGGAACAAACCTGCCTTTACGTTGAAATAAAGTTCCGCACAGTGGGAGAATGGGAATGGAAACTAATCTTCGATCCGTGCTTAAAGCAACATAACCCCCACCTTTTCCACACAGTTTCTCTCCAGCGCTGCGGTTCCAAATCAAAATGGCTGCACCAGTGAGCTCCTGCTCAAAGGAAGTGTGAACCGAGGCTGTGCTGCTGCCTTCACAGGCTGCCAGGAAGATCACAACTCACGGTTTTAATCAGTCAGACTTTTGTGACGCCGCCTGCCTTCTAACACACATGCTGGGCTACTTTTAAAATCCTAAATTAAAAAGGCGAAGAGGTTCACCATCTCGTCTCTGTATATCCTCACGTTGATTGTAGAGCTCCCTTGATAATAAGTTATGTGGACCACCGACGTGTTGGTGTCATTTTTTTGGAGCACGTACTTTTGCCTGTCCCAAAATGTTGTATTATATTTTAGCGAAAACAAATAAAGAAATCTATATAATCTTATATATATATCTATAGTACGCACATTAATCAGCCAGTCAGTTTAGTATAACTGGTCTGGTTATCAAGAAATTTACACTGCTTTTTCCCCTAAGAAGGGTATTCGCCCATTCTTGTTGCCAGTCTTAGTTGTTAGTTGTTAGTCTTACGTGTTTTTGTGAAAATTTGTGTTAAACAATCAGTTACACGTCTATGGGTAGTTCATCCGCCAATTTAATGAGTTTAACTTTTCGATATCACTTATTCGTTGCGAAGTAGGAGCTTACGAGCAGCACGTAAAGGCAGCATTGAGACCACGACAGACAGATGCTGATGAGACCTTACATACAGTCAATGGATGAGACTGATAATAAAGACCACAACGGTGCTGAACTATTTAAAACGTGCATTTAAGTCACTCAAGTGAACGCTGTAATTGGAATCTAAATATTTACTTATATCCTACTTTGCGGTTCTATTAAATTATACTGATCATAAAGGCTACGAGAAAAGCTTTCACACATTGAAAATGGTAGGCAGATATTTTTAAAATCCCTGTTTAAATAAGCCATTCACATGCATTTGTTTAAAGTGGTGGATACACTACATGGGTGATCCATCACAGGTGGACAGCTCTAAGTGCGTCTGCAGTTCCTCAAACGGCCACTTGAGGCTTGGCTAAAGAAATGAGTCAATGTCCATAAGGCCCCATATTAAAATGCCGAACTTGACAGCAGACATAAACATATTTACAGCCTGGGGCAAAAAGCGGGGTTGTTGTCTATAGCTAAATTCCCCATTCAT